AACCTTAGGTTCATGTTTTACTGACACCTTTTACTGTAAACCAAGTCCACATTCCCCAAGTAAGTGTGAGTTGACCTTTAGTATCCTTCAGATCAGTAAAAGCACGATGACCGAAATGTTTAGTCAGTGAGATTCTTTTTTTCAGACAGTGGATTTGCTCAGTTATTGTGTTTTTATTGTTTAACTGTTTAGTGCAGTTTTGTTGTCATATTTCCTATTACTGCAAGAGATGTGCATGTAGATAGAAAATAGCCCAACAAAAGTCTTATTTAAATTATTTTTGTGTTGTCTTAAAAATATGATGATCATAGTTTGACATATTTGTGACAATGGGTTCTAACCGTGAAAACAACTGGGCAGTATGCTCGAAAACTTCCCGTGTTTCTCTGTTGAATGAATAAAATATGATTTGCATTTTCAAGAAGGCAGCAGCCAAATTACAACACCTCATCCTTTTCCTCAGTACTCATTTCTGCAACTGATGCTGTTTTATTTCCCTAAAAAATCTCCCCTGGAGCAAGTCCAGTGGCTCTAACATGGAGAACATTTGAATTTACCATATTTGAAGTTTGTGTGTGAACTGGATCGCAAAGACACATTTACTATAAACTTGATCGTTCTGAATTGGCATCATTTCCTAAATTCTTACGTTTGCAGTTTTAACACAAAACAAGSTATTTCAAAAGATGTGTTGCCAAGGATTCTGTTGAATAATGAAGAAGTTTAAAAAATGTTACGTTGAGAAATTCTGGGGGGAAAAAGAAGAAGTACGTACAGGAAGTTAACATAAAAACTGGCTGAAATGGGGACGGGTTGAGCATACAGTATCATCCTGCAGAAATCAAGGTATGACCATGGAGTAAACTTAGAAAAATCAAAACTTTAAAACTTCTCATAAATACTTTTGCATGTTTGAATTCTTCTGTGCTACCTGTGTTGTTTCTGGGAAAGCATGTTGGTCCACCGGGATGTCTCTAAATGTTTTCTTTTTCGTTTCTTTTTCTGTTAGATGCACGTCTTGCTTGGACTGATGCTGCTGACGACATGTGTCGCGAGCACTCAAGGTATGTGTTCTCATTTAAATGTGAATAAACAAGCATGACAATAAAACATCACACATTTTGAAAAGGACGAGTCTTTACTCGGAATTGGTCCATTCAGAACCAGTTCTCTTCACTTTAGATTCATTTAGAAGTCAGGTATAATTTTTATTAGTGAGCTGAACAGGAAAACGTCAAACTCATAAAACAACATTGTCTTTATAAGTCTGTTTTTGTCTGTAATCTTCAGTCCTTCATTAGCATAAACCTAATTAACTAGAAATAAATGTTTCACTTTGACTTAATATGAATTTGATTCAAGTAATTTGACCTGAGAAAGCATCAAATCTTGTTCAGATTTCACCAAAGAACCTTATTTAGCAGATTTTTGTGTGAATGTGACCTTTTCCTTAACTTTTGCTAGACAAAAAAAAACCTACTTGACACGTTCAAAAAAGTCTTATTTTGAAGAGTCAAGGCAATTACAACTGACATAAAGTACTTCATATGACATTTTCCTTTGAATTTTGAATAAAAATATTAACAAAATCTCCTTTTAAAAAATGGGGGGAAATGAAACTGTCTCATGATTTTTTTTCCCCGCAGATATGTCTGATAAGATGTTCACCTTCCCGCTGGAAACCAAGAGGGCTCATGTGAGGTTAAACACAACAAAACAGGACTTTGGGGCTGTAACAGTCTGTCACAGGTACAGTCAAATGGTTCTGAATGTGCAAACCTGCGGTTCGCATCTCCAGAAAGAAGTACTAAAGAGCTTGTGGAGGGTGGGAACACAGGGTTGTTAAAGGGATCCATGATTAGTTGTAACATTAGACTTTATTTGATAAACATATGTTTTAACTGTAAAATAAAGACTGTAAAAATACTGTAGGATGTTTAGTTTTTATCATTTTTAAACTAAAAGTTTAACAATATATTATACGGACGGAGCCATTTTATTTACACACAAAGCATTCTGGGTAAATGATGACGTGGATAGGTCGTCGGTGCGAGGCTGCTAGCAAGCTATATCCACCCTGAGGGTTAATCTTGGACAATATCTGATGATCGACTCTTTTAAATGAAACCAGAGAGCGTTGACAGAGAGGAGAAGGTAGAAATGACTCAGCCTGGAACTGAAAATATGGATGGAGGACAACAGTTTAGCTTATTAGTCATGCTAGCGCCAACTAGCTAATACATATAAGGCAATATAGCATTGGCGCTAGCGCAAAGGCTAACAGGCTAAGCTTCCATGAAGCAGCTCTGTTGTCCTCCATCCACATTTTCAGTTCCAGGCTGAGTCATTTCTACCTTCTCCTCT